AAATTTAAAGAATAAAAAATAGTGTATATCGAATAAATCTATGAAAATCTTGACAATTGATGGTCCAAAAATGCGTTACAAAATGCATTATTTCTAAAACTTGAAATCCATTTTTTTTCTCATGTCCATCCATCTTGATGTCGAGATGATCAATTTGATGACATTTAAGCATCAAAACAACATCTTCTAATGAAAATTTTGAGGTAGGCTCTAATTTAAATGTTTAGAGCCTAGGCCATATATAAACTTCTCCCCTTATATAAACATACTACTTTAAAGTTTCTATGTAAAGTTGCATGAAGCTCTAGGTGAGTTTTTGGGTCATTTTAGATGAAAATGCCCCTCACTATTATATACATGAAAATTAATTTAAATATTTTATTTTTGGTTGTATGGGTTTTTTTCCTGAGAACACAAAATGTGGAAAAAAATTTAAACTAATTTTCATGCTTTTGTTTTTGAGAGGCGACTTCATCCAAAAAAAGGCGTCCCATGTAATTTCCCTAGTTTATGCAACACAACATCGGGACGAGATGGATGGAGAAGAGAGAAGGGTTGAGATGAACCGTAGAAGGGACACCTTGTGCTATAATTCGTCTTTAACACATATCTTGGAAATGGATGGATGATGCTCGCCTTGCATGTAGCTATACCTCCTTCCATCCAACCGCTTGAGATATCTTATTTCCACACAGAGAGAGAGAGTTTGGTGTTAAATTTGTTAGTATTTTTTTTTGAAAAAATAATATGCTTTGAAATTATTCTTTCATCAATATTTAATAAACAAAGAAAAAAAGTAGTACGTTTTACTCTTAAATTGAACAACAGAGTGAATCAAGAGTGGTTTTATATGAAAACACTATTATATATTATCAAGAGTGGTTTTATATGAAAACACTATTATATATTATGTTTATGGAGCAAAGGAGAAAATGGAGAGTGCATTGTAGAGCATGGAGGTATGTGAGACACATGACGCGCACTTTGCACCTCGCATCAATGTTAGTGCACTTTGCTTCAATGGAGAGTTGCCCAAACCCCTTAGCCCGAGATGTGACCCGGACTCCACTGCTCATTGGATGACTGTGTGCGGGCATCCAACTGTTATAAACTAACCAATGTTATGGTTGGTGACCGTTGACACAATGGTTGTCGCAAATACAATTATTAGATGTCAATTTTAACGGTTGATGACAGTTGGATGTTGACAATTGTGTTTCAATCAGGCACATGGCTCAGTAAACAATCACTACTATTCACTTAGATAGTCACCTCCAAGAGTCATACTCCATATAAAAGGGTTCGAGCTCTCCATTTAAAGTATGCTTTTCTCTCGTTGATTCTCCCTCTCAAAAGTCTCTACCATCTTTCTGTCTCTAAAACTTATGACATATTCTCTCTTTAACTTTGAGACCTTGTATTTTCCATGCAATAGTAGGTATTGTTTTTTTTTTTTTTACCTTTAGTTTTAAATATGGCCTGAACTTTGACGGTAGTATTGTCGAGTTTTATGCGAAAGTCTCTGATTTAATTCTCACCAAAAATTAGGGGCCTAAATCCCCACTATCAATACCAACTCTTTTAACATGATTGAAAACATAAAGGTCCACCATCCATCTTTATATTTTCATAAAACTTTCGCACCAAATTTCTATAACCCCATTTCATCAGTCCAATTTTTCAACAAAATTTGGCTATATTGATATCGATGTTCACAAAATCGAACCAGAACGATTAACCGGACATGGACCTGAAAGCGATTTAACCGGCCTAACCAGTAAACCGGCCGATTCAACCGCTCTAACTAAGCAAGTCCCGGGCCGTAAAAAAAATGTTGAAAATAAATAAAAAAATACAAAAAAAATCTACTAAAATATGAAAATCATATAAAAAATGGTTAAAACAAAACACATTCAAATGAAGTTGAAAATTAATGGAAAAAATGAATTTAAACCTATTTTATATTTTCCAATTGTTATTTTTAAATTTTCTAAAATGATGGGAAAATAGAAAAGTGAGTATTAATGACCAAAACAATTTTTGATCTTTACCATGATATAAATAATATTTAAAAATACATTACAAATCAAATTCTTTATTTTTTAGAATTTATATACATTTTTGTGTTTTTTTTTTTTAAATACCGATTGATCACCCTAACTGCCCAAAATTAGAATCGGTCAGTAACCGGGCAGTTAGCAGTTAGCAGTTAGCAATTAGCAGTTAGCAGTTAGATTGGGTGATTTTGTGAACAATAATTGATATGTTCTTTTGATAGAGAAAGAGAGTTCACTTCTACCCCGAGGAAACTAGAGGTTTATACAATGGTAGCATTTTAATGAGGGGTGCGGTTTTTATAAGGTGTTAACTTCTTCTTTATTTTTACCTCTAAATTTTACTAAAAGATGTAGCTTGGATGCTTATAATGGTGTAAAAATATTTTTTGTATGGAATTATAAAATGGACATGTTTTCTATGCGGCAAGTCCGCATATTGTAGAAATGTGGGCTTGGCAATAAATATATTTTTTAAATATAATTTGATCCTAATTTAACAAAAAAAAATTTTAAAAATAGAAATAATAATTATATTAAGAAAAAATTTGGACGATAGTTACAATTGTACAATTGTTTTTAGATGGACCACTTATTTGCATCCAACTTTAAGATTGATGATTTATACCTTTGGACTGCATATTGTAGAAATGTGGTCCAGCCCCATATGAAACAATTTTCTTTATAAAATACAACTCTAAACATTAATCTCAAACATATCTATAAAGGACACAGTTTCTATGCCACCAGCCTGCATATCGCAAAAAAAGTGGGCTTGACAATAACTATATATTTTAAATATAATTTGATCTTATTTTTTAGAGAGATCATGCATATGAAAAATAAAATAATTAAAAACTACAAATATTAATTATATTAAGAAAACCTTTGGACTTTTAGTTACGCTTGCTTTTAGATGGACCATCTATTTGCAGCTATCTTTAAGATGGATGCTTAATACCTATGGAGCACATATTTTGTAAAAATGCGGTCTAGCTCGCATAAAACAATTTTCCATCTATAAAACACTCAAAATCTTTAAAAGGAAAATTGTTTTATGCGGATTGGATCACATTTCTATATATGCGGTCCATAAAGTGTAAAGCATCCATCTTAAAGATAAATGCAAGTAGGTGTTCCATCTAAAAACAATGGAAATTAGTGGTCCAAATATTTCTTTACTAGAATTATTATTTCTAGTTTTAAAAATTTATTTATATTTTCATATTCACGATCTCCATATTAGAGATTACATGTCCTTCAAACTGAAGTCTTATAAATATCGCCTCAAAATAGATTTATTAAGAGGCCTGCATTTCTATGTATATGGGCGAAAAAGTTTATATCGAGCCAAAACTTTAAACAATCAAATTAGAGCATACTTAAAAAATTTTATTAGAAGAGGTTATTTTGATGTCCAAATATTTTCAAATTGATAATTTCAACATCAAGATGTATGGATACGAGAAAAAAACATATTTCAAGTTTTAGAAATAGTACATATTGCAATGCATTTTTGAACCGTCAATTTTCAAGTTTTTTTTAAATTTTCATAGATTTTCTTCATCTACACTATTTTCAAAAGAGTACTGATCCTATGAGACCCTCCCACACCTATGTATATAAGACTACGAAAGGTCACTACTAAATTTAATACATACCGCTGAAAAAGTTATAAAATAGACGTAAGACTTGATTTTTATAAAGATCTATACCAAATTTAATGATAATGATTTGAAGTGGATCTACACGTATAGATGTACGAAGGTCACATAAAATCATTATTCTCTTCAAAACTTAAAAACTTTATAACTAGATGTGAAAATATATTTGAATGCCACTCGATACAAACGGCACCAATAAGCTGTCTAGGTTAATATGTACAATAATAAATACTAGTAAATACTATTCTCAAGATTTAAAATTCCTTTTTTAATTACCACCTCGATTTTTTACTCTAACGAGTAGGGTCATTATCGTTCCGTGCTCTCCTTGTTATTAAAAAAACAAGTATATTTTACATCTTCCACCTGCCTAAATCTTTGCGGATTGCGGGAACAAGTGGCGCGCATTTCAAATTTCGAAGCAATCCGTAATCTGCCGCTAATAGATCTTGGAGCAGAGCACGATGGAGAAAGGAAACCGTGTCGTACGAAACTCGGAGCTATCTTCTTCTTTATAGGGGAAAGAAACAGGAGAGAGAGAGAAAACACTGCAGAGAGCGAGAGTTAGGGTTTTATTCTTTGCAAAAGGGAAAACGCAGAGAGAATTGGGGCACAGATAGAGAGATGGGTGAGCTTCAAAACCGCAGATACTGGTTACTCAAGACCGAACCATCAGAGTGGTCATGGGATCACCAATCAGCCAATGGTGGTCTCTCCATATGGGATGGTGTTAAAAACGCTCAAGCGCAAAAAAACCTAAGAGCCATGAAAATCCATGACCTCTGCTTCTTCTACCACTCTGGTTCGAAGGCCCGAGAAATTGTGGGCATTGTCGAAGTTTTGAAGGAATTCTATGACAGTGAGAAAGAAGGTGAGCCAGGAATGGTTGAGGTGAAGGAGGTGGCTCCGCTAAAAAGGCCGATAAGTTTAGCGGAGATGAAAGGGGAGGAGTGTTTGGGAGAATTTGCTCTGTTCAGGCAGCCAAGGTTATCTGTGGTCCCTGTTCCAGAGGGCATTTGGAAGAGGATTTGTGAAATTGTGGAATTTGAGGAGCCAGAGCCAGAGAAGGCGGCTTGAGTTGGAGGTCTATCTCTAGATATCTATATGGGTTTTTTTTGAGGTACCCTTTTACAGAACCCTCTCTCCTGGTTTTGGGTTCGCATCTCTGTCTCGGCCTTTTACCCCTCTCTGTTTATGTTTAGCTCTGGTTTTCGGCGTCTCTCTGTATTTACATGAATATTTGGTTTGGTTTGGTTTGGTTTTGGGGTGTTTTTATTTTTTGTTACATGTAATTTTGGTTTTGGGTGTTTGCTTCTCTTACTCTCTTTTCAAAGAAAAAGAATTGGATTTTGAGTCATTGAGCAACTAGATCTTTCCTTCCAAAAATTCTGACGATCTTAGGATTTGCACGAAGAGTGGTTTTTTTTGTTCACTTATTGAAGCGTTGAAAATGTAGTACTCTCACGATTGGCATTAATGTGGTGAATTCGTGAATAGATAGAAGCCAGTGGTATATTCATGGGAAAAAAATAAAATAGTAGTCAATGAATTCGGGAAAATTTTACAGAAACACCATCTATAATTACAGAAAAATTATCGTGCACGGATTGTGAAAGGAAAAGAAAAAAGAAAATAGTAGTAAATGAATTCAGGAAGGTATATTCGTGGGAAAAAAAGAAAATAGTAGTAAATGAATTCAGGAAAATTATACAGAAACACTATCTATAATTACAGAAAAATTAGCGTGCACGGATTGTGAAAGGAAAAAAAGAAAATAGTAATAAATGAATTCAGGAAAATTATACAGAAGCACTATCTATAATTACAGAAAAATTATCGTGCGTGGATTGTGAAAGTATACCATTGCATTGCATGGGGGAGAGAGATTAAATAATTGATGCTATATCCAAAAAAATCCAGGATATGAGTAAGATAAAACTTGATCGCAGAGCTTGGATTTCAATTAGCTTTAGAGAGAAGAGATGCTTTGTATAAATAGGAGGTTTTGTATTTTGTTGCTGTGTTTTCCTCTCTTTGACTTGCATTTTCATTGGAAAATATTATCTCTCTAAAGGAAGGGTGGAGCAATACCAACCAAATAAAAACAAATATGGTTTTGCATCTCAGCTATGTAATTGCGAAAATATGAGACACGGGTTTTGGGGGAAATGGTATAGACATTAGGGCATTGTTATTGTTGGGGTGCTGCTGTGAAAATTAGGGTTTTAGCAGAAAGTGCAGAGGAAATGAATAGTGTTCTTCACACTCGCAGGAGCCACGCCATTGATCGTGGAAGCCAGAAAGTTTGGTCATGCAGGGAGGATCTATTGGGTTCTGCAATCCACAAAATTCAGGGGTTTTGGGTGAACTTGTAAGCAGAAGAGATGTATTTTTGGTTTAACAATAGGGTCTCACAAGAACAGTGAAGAGCGAGAGAGGTGTTGAGCCTCCAATTTGCAGACCGAGAGGCTTCAATTAGCAGGTTTTCACAAAAAGTCAAACAGCACAAACAAAATAAGGTAAAGAGGGGTTCAACTTGGCTCGAAGCAAAAGAGAGAGAGAGAGAGGAGGGAGAAGATTAAGGGATTTAGGTAAAAGGAGGTTAAAGGGCAAATCAGGGATTTAAGTAAAAAGAGGTTTAAGGGCGAATCACTACATGGAAGTAGAAGAGAAAAGGATTAATCGGTGGGAGAAAAGGTTTCTTCTCGAGATTAGAACGTCTTCTCTTGAACTTCGTTCGACCTTTCACATCCATTTCACGTGATCATCTCCAATATATATATAAAAAATTAGGATCGTACCATTAACGTTCTGCTTTATATTTCAATTCAAGTGATTGTGAGCATCAAACTAGACTTTGAAGTTCGAAATGTTGTATTGAATTTAGTGATACTCCCCAGCTATCTAATTTGGCATCTCACGGTTAGGATTGGTTGTGATTTAGTATACAATCTCATTCATATATAAGCTAT